TTCACTTTTACGTGCTGTAAAGAAGAAAGTTATCTTAAAGGTTTACAGACCAGTGCCAAAATAGCTTGATGAAGCCGGCCTAGCTGCCATCCACCCCCCTCTACTATTTTGCAGTTTTGTTAGGTTTAATGGTGAAACTATGGTCTCTAAATACAACTGGGGCTTAATGTAGCAGTACACAGAAGGAATATCAGTATCAAATATATCCCAAGAATATACAGATTTAATTACAGAAGCTGTGAAAAATGTCCATAATTGCCTTGATAATTACACAATATTAAAAACTTTTGTAATTCGGGATTCTGATTCTAACTAGTCATTACACTAGCTCCCTAGATCTTAAAGAACAGACCTTTAAAAATGATGACATGTGTTAAATAAACTGAATTGAAATTGAATTAAATTGAATTAAATTCTTCTGTTAGTCTGTGAATCGCCAAATGGCTTTGCAACAAAATACATTACAGACTTGTTGTCAGTGTATCAGCTGCCCAGACCCTTTCAGGTCTTCTTGAAATGCAGAACCAAATCCTTATCCTATCTATCTATCCTATCTATCTATCTATCTATCTATCTATCTATCTATCTATCTATCTGTCTGTCTGTCTGTCTGTCTGTCTGTCTGTCTGTCTGTCTGTCTGTCTGTCTGTCTGTCTCATCTTTGCACACATGCGAATACATCACCATGGGTAGCAATAAATTATTTTTTAATATTGGAAATCCAATTCTAATTTATTGTCTTTAGAGAGAGAGAGAGGCTTTAACGAGTATTGGGTGGGTCTGTCTGTCTGTCTGTCTGGTTTTATCATTTGAAATGGTTGTACTTAGAAACCTATTACTTCTTATAAAAAGTTTTCTTACACTGGCTCAGGCTCTTTTATCTCCACCTCTCTGCTTTTTAGAAAAAACGATGTTGATTAACTCTTCATAAGCCCAGAGGTTGGTAAACTCTGCACAGCACAATGCACCTATAGGCAGGCAGTGGTTTTCCTGATCAACCTGACTGGTTCTCATCTGTTTCCTGCAGTCTCCTGCTGAGATTGGATAGTTGTTGAGTGTGCATTGTTAAATATGTTCCAAGGCACAGAGGCTGCCAGTGTCAGGTACATAGGCACAGGCTTCTTCCCTCGTATGTGTTTATGTCTTTGCGAGCAGGTGGGTACATGCGTGCGTACGGCTGACAGCAAACAGTGAAAGGTAAGGAGGAAAGGGTGGCGCCATCACTTTAAGCCTGTCAATGGGACTCCCTCAGGAGGGGCACGCCCCGGCAGTTTTTTTTTTTTTTTTTAGACAGAAGACAGAGGCAAGTGAGGCAACAGATCTGCCTTTGCATCTTAAAGGTTCAGCAGAGGCTGCTGTAGCCGTGAAATGGTAACTTCTTGTTCTCTCTTCATGTTTTATGACCAAAGGCCTCCTGCTAAGAATGGGTAAAATATGGTGTCTGTATCGGCAAGGTCAAGGCTTAGATGTCGTGCACAAAAGACTTTATGAGTGACAAAGGAAATCAAAATCACGTTAGACCTCATCAAGGTGACATGGTGTGGGGACATTACCAGCATGTAAATGTATTCCAGTCATTGTCATCTTTGTAGGTTAACTATACTGGGAGACTCTGCTTTTTGTTTGACCTCAGTTTACCTCACTGTAAATATAAACTATACTTTTTTCATGTGAAGCAGCAAAAGCTAAACTCATCCATCGTTTTTGCTAAGTACAAATTCTGACAGACAAAATGTATTTGTTCATTCTTATTAAATCGCACATTATAGAACTGATAGAGCCTCACCAAATAGTGATAAGCTATGTAGCAACAAAGATATTCACCAAATAAATGGTTGCTATGGAGATTTAGTACCCTCAAGGTACTACTTCCTGCTGCAGATCTCAAACAGTGCAATTTTACTAGGTTTTGTTTTTTTATCATCTTATATCGGTTGCAGTAATTTTAATGGTTTTAATTAATTTGACTATATATTACTTTTATGTAATTACATAAGGGCTGCTTTCCCAAACTGGGTTATATAGTTTCTAAAAGTAGTTTTCTATTGGCATATGAATATCAACAATTCTTCCTTGCTTTAAAAACATGCATTATTGTGCATCCCATTTTAAACAATGGCATTCACATTTCTTCCTTAGGGAAAAAGGAAGTTGTAGGTTACTATTGAGAAAAACGTAGATCCACTTAAGAAAGTAAATCTTAAGTTTATTAAGCGTAATTTATCGCAATGGAAATTAGTTTAAAAACTAAAGTTTGTACAAATAATTTAGTGGGTTGGCCCAACAAAGTGCAGCCAAATAAAGTAAAATGTTTTAGAGATTAGTTCTGACATCCAATCTCTTCACATGTATGCACCGTCCTTAGGTCATACAACAAAGCACAGGGGTCAGCTAGCAGGTGTCAGGGATCATGATATCCCAAGGGTTTCCTGAGTCTCATCCTGAAACCTTTAACATTTTTCAAAGGCCTCCTGTAGTCCAGGCCCTCATCAGCACATGGCCCCAATGGCCTCATACACATATGCACTAACCCACAGTCCTCTCCACTGAGAGGAGAGAACCACCACGCATCACCTAGCGCTCCCTGCTACTTGCCAAGTGGGTTTGGTGTGTCCAAAAACAAGCCTGAAACCCAGCAGGAGAAGCAGTAATGATGGTGAAGGGGCACAAACCTGTACTGAGGGCACACTTCATTCTTTCCATAATTCATTAAGGACTTTCACAGATTTGCCGGGGTAGCTTATATGTGCTCAATTATTTTTTAAAGGTTTAAAGGTGCATCATCTGTAAAGAAGATTTTAGTATTCTCAGAAAGTTTGAGCATTGACCACTTCGAAAGGAGAGACAATAAAGGCTTTTATTTAAAAAAACTACAGGGGTACAGCCTGTAAACACCCGGAGAGTATCAGCTACATGAAAGGGTCCACTGGGCCTTGACAAAGTGATGTGATTAAAGGCACCGATGTAGCAAATCTAAACCCCAATCTTCTTTTCTGTTCAATCAACCATCAGTAAAATAAATCCTCTTCACTATTTTTGCCAATCACATCACAAGTCCCAACTTATAGAGACTCAAGAGAGTTATGCATGCAACAGGCTGAGATAAATGCAGGTAAACAGGCTTCGCAAGGATGGAGGGGCTGAAAAAGAACTAGTGCGGCTTAGTCAAACTAGCTAAACGTGTGAGAATTAAGATGTTGCTGCGTGGGATGAGGCAGTTATGCATACATAACATGTTGAGGCTGGGACCTCCTACTGTGGCGAAGCACGACAAAGCCTCTCTAACAGCAATACCTCTGGGAAGGCTAATGATTAATTAGCTTGTGTCATTAAGTGAGGCAAATGTCACCCGAGCTTCCTGGGGAAGCTGTCATACCATGTGTAGGCCACTCACAAGTTTACCCCTCAGGTGGCAATAGATGGGAGGTGGGGAAGGGTGCAGTTGTTTGTCAAGCCCTGACATCTAGTGGCCAAATAAGAAAATACACCTGTCTGCAATCAATAGAAAACATAACTGTCTATATATACATATATATATAGACATATATATAAAAATATATATATTTATATATATTTTATTTATTTTTTCTAGCCGTAATGTATATATTGTGGCCACTTTTTTACAAAGCTTACATGAAGCTTATGCAACTGGTCTGTCAGCAGATAGCTCCACCTGAGTATTCAATTTTTGCTGTTCCTTCAATGCTGCCGCAATGACATGGCCGTCCACAAAACTGACAAGCCAGGCCAGGAGAACATTAATAATTGAAGGTTTGTGATTTTTCCATAGTCCCACCTCATAGTCATACCTTGCATTTTAAAATCTCCCGGCTTCAGAAGAAATCATTTTTTTGTACCATATATAAGGAAAACAGAAGATAATTATTTGTGTTATAGATATAATAACCACAAAATGCCAAAAAATTGTTCCAGCAGATTGATCTTTGCTTTGCTTATACATAGTGGAAATGCAAAGGGTAATGTTTGGATAACTCCTTAAAACAAAAGTGGTCAAAAGAATATCAAATAAACAGTGTTAGTTGGTACTTATGCATTATTTCATCTACCACTAAATAGGAGCATGGATCTGGAAGAAAATGCATCAAATCCAACTTTATCATATTCCTACTGGAATGTGGGAAACCACAGTGATATGCAAACTGAAGCACTCAGCTAACTGTTACGAGCAGTAAAAGACATGATGGCATTTTTTAATTAAAATCTGTATTTTTTTTATCTCTAATTAAACATTTTTTCTCGCAGGTTGCAAGGTGCTTTAATTAAGAAAGATGGACAGACCATCATAAATGCTAAAAACTTGTATTACGGCAGCTATCCATATGTTTAAATGTGCAGCAGCCATATTGGATTTTGATGTCATGGTTGGTGAGAAATATCCGATTTCCCTATTTGGACTTACGACTTTATGGAAATTCCCACAATGATGGCTGTATTAGTGCCTGACTTAAGTTTAACATAGAATGCCAGTATATTTTTTTCATTTTGAATAAATATTATTTATTTAATTATATTTTTTGTTTGGTGTTTGTATGCCCTGAAAAAAAAATAGTTTTAAATTGTCTAAGTCATATTATGTTACATTGTCTTTTTGCACTTAAAATTTTAGTGCATACCTCACTGATGCTTGAGACCAAAAAAAAGTGGAGTGTTAGAGTTCTAAAGGAACGTGTTGTTTTAACATATTTTAAGAAGGAAATGTGTAAACATCAATTTTGACCTACGCTTATCAATATCAGTGAGGCTGATTAGATTTGAGCTGGGTTTAACTCCCTAAACATTGATCATTAAATCAGCTGAGGTGACCTCTAACTTTTAATGTCACTCAACTCACTGACCCTGACATTATCCGCAAAAGTAAAGCGTTGACTTCAAAGATGTTAAAGGTCAGGATAAATATAGAAGGTGGTCAAATTAAACATTAAGACTTGTTAACATTTAAGGGTTTTAAACATCAAAGTTGTAAATTGCAATATTCTTACCTTGAAGTAATGGGAGAAGCTGGATTTGATTATCTTGCAAGATTTGAAGCACACCATTCAACAGACTGTAGTTATCTCAATTAATCTGCTCTCTTCTCCTTTAGCTAGCATTGGATTTTCTCTTTACTTACTCAGTCCTGCTTGTTCCCACTCTTTCTCCAGCACAGCATCAGCACTGGTCTGAGCTTTGTGTTGGTCAGCTCTAAGTCCAGGCCAGGAAGAAGAGTGAGAAGGCCTCTCTCTCCACCAGGGAGTAGCGGCACGATACGGGAAAGGCTTAATGCTCCCGACAACACACACATATGCACCTTGTTTCTGTGTGTGTTCATGTCCACATCACAAACACACTCACACAATCTGCCTCACCCTTACATAGACATACGCATACAAAAGCACACCTGTCAGGGCCTTTCCACTGTGTGAGCAAAAAGCAAAGAAGTCTGGCCCCCCCTCCGACTCTCTGTATGTGGTATCCCATGTCTGTTATAAAGCAAATCCATTCAGTTCCCACTTTCTCATCTGAAATAATGGCATGAGCAATTTTCACATTTAGGCAAGCAAGGACACATGCAGTCTCCCTCTCTCTCTATGCTTAATGAATGGAATCAGGACTGGGCCCCTGTGGCTGTGGTCTAATCTGCCTTTGAAGATTTGGACAATTTACAGACTAGGGAGAAGAAGGGAAAAAAAGACCTCAACCTCTTTTACACAGTCCTCTTCCTCTACAAAAACACACACAGTGAATAAGTCATTTGCTTATATCTATTTCTACATTTACTTATATTGTCAAGTGTGCCCAATTTACATGCTGTTGACCGCTGCCAAAAAGGGGGCCCCAACACGCCGCGCCAGGAGCTTCCTGATTGTGCCAGTCAACTGGTGTGTGACGTCCATTTGAAGGGGAACCTGTCAAATAGAGAGATTGAATTAAAACACTCTTTGCTCCGGAGTACTCTCTCATTGCCACTTTGCACCATAACATGTCTTGTCCTAAAATAATTAGATTGAGGCTTTGGGTGATGGAGTGGCCGGATGCTCAATGGTCAAAAGAAGGAATGGTCTGGCCATTGAATGGAAGCCTACGATCTTAAAAAACACTTTATTTCTTTACACTTGAGGTTTGTTGTCTTTTGTGACCATTATCCCCATTCACCAATTGCTTTCATGCAGCTGTGCCCCTCTTAAAAAGTCTTTGTGCCCGCACCATGAATACAGGGAATGTGTCCGTGGCAGGTAGCCCTTATTGCAAGTTAATCTCCTGAATGAGCTGCATACAAGTACTTTTAAATTCTCCCCAAAACCACAGAAGGCTCATCATCAATCGAGCACTTATTTCCTCTTTGTGAGGCTGATGAGTGTGGTGCACGGATGGTGACAATGGCTGCCAAGTGTGGCAAAGTAATCACCTTCTGGGGAAAACACTGGTAATTACTTCTAAACTGTTTGGGCTTCGGAGACAACTGCTATTGTGCAATAAAATGAAAGGTTTTCTTTAGAGAACAGTGCTGTGATGGTTGCGCTCAAACTGTTTGTCATCTGTTTGTTTACAGAGGTTTTTGCCTTGTGCAGCTGACCACCAAAACCATCCACGTCTCATTCATGTGTGTGGATGTCTCAGTTAAATAGGGATTGGGAAATGCGAAAAGTACTAGTAGAAAAAGGATCAGGAATTCAGAAATTCCTATAAACATAAATGGATTAATTATTCCTGATATTTGTTTGTGATTGTTGCAAAAATCCTTTCATTTTTTTTTTTCTGTTACAACCGTAAACTATACTTTATCTAATTTAGATTTTACATTGAAAGTACTCATGGGGCAAAATGTATTGTTATTTTCTATATTTTCTTAATGATAAATTAACTTTGATAAATCATTCTAGTTTGTTTTAGGAAAGCGATTGGTAGATGATGGCCTTCTGGACTTACATGTCCTAATGTACATCAACAAAAATATTTTGATCTATTTTCAGCAACAATACAAAGCTATAGGACACTTTTTTTTCTTTTTTTCCGGAAAAAGCTTGCTGACTTTTGTCAGCTTTAAAGAATGGGAATTCTTTTATTAAAAATATTTTGTGTGTGTGGCCAGTTGTAAGAGACAGTCCATCCAATCCAATTCTGGGTAAAATACAGGCTAGTATCAGTGATACTGATCCAATACTTTTTATAGATATATACGTGTGTTTTGAAGTTACTAAATAATTTAAATGCTTATAATTATTAAAATTTCCCTTGAAATATTTGATAAAAACACATCAATGATAGCTATTGTGCAAAAAAGTCAATAGCTATATTTCGAAATATTTATTGAACAGTTACAGCAAATTAGACAAATTTTAGATAAAAACTCATAGATCTTATAAACTGTTATGTTTTAACCATATTACTATGATTTAACATAAGGTATAATTTACATTCATTTGACACCTAATCAATATGATCCACCCCTGAATGTATTTGTCAACGGAAAGAGGAAGGAGCAGGAGTGTATGATCTGCTGGTGGAGATGTTGGATGCACCCATAAAGTACATTGCAGATGCCTCTGCACCAGAAGTTGATATTGGAGGCAGGGAGTATGCTGTGGGTTGCAGTTTCAGCCACCAGGTGAGATGAAGAAGAGAAGATTTGACCAAGAAAGTCATTACTGAGTACCACGCCTTGCTGTTCTGCTAAATATTTCCCCCCTCAGGTTCATTGATGCTTCATAAAAATTCAATAATACATACCGTATCCTAAGAAATGCTTATGTCATTTTGAAAAATAAGAGAAAAAAAACATTGTTGGGTGACATATACAGTGATGTAGAACTACTGTAACTGCATTGAGATCTGAGCCACATAGTATCCAGAACGCTTTATTTCTAACACCTTCTACAGGTTATGTTAGCAAAAAGCTTAACTGTAGGTTAAAGGGTAAGCACTGTGATATAATAACTGATGCTACTACTGTCCCTTAAGCATGCGTGGCTGGAAGTTTTAAAGTCTGCTTACTAAAAAAAGATGTGATTTATGATTCCCCATGTTGTATTAGGAATTTCTGTCCAATATATTTTTTTATTTTAGCAATAGCCTTCTCTACATACAACCTGCCAGAATTTGCCTCTTGGATCTGGAAAATAGTGGCAGGTTTAACGGTACCATGGCTGTTATGGGGTGAAATTACTATTAAATACGATTTGATAATGTAGAAATAAATATTTATTCAAAAACATTTTTTATAACATCTAAATTTCAATATAATGATTTCAGTGAGAAGTATTGATGCAAAAATAAACATATATTCAAAACTTTTTCAAAATGTAAGATTCTTAAGTCACATGTTTTCCACACAAATGCTATTTTTCAAATGTAAACTATTTAAAGAAAAGGAAATTATTGTGTGCAAATAATTAATTTTGCATGCAAGGATTTGTGCGTCACTCGAGGAGCAAGGATACTTTTGAGATTCTTGTTTCGCATTTTGATACTTACAGGAAGGCTGTACATTTAAGGAAATTCTAATTTCTGGGGAAAAAAAGTCGTGAGTGCTCAGAAAAATCTTTGTCAATTCTCAGATATTAGGAAGAAAGTTGTCAGCCCTTATAGGAAAAAAGATTTCAGTTGTCAGGTATTGGGTAAAATGTCAGTTCTTAGGTAAAATTTTGTCAGATCTCAGGTATTAGGAGAAACTCCAAACTCCAGGATACCTAATTTGTTCATGTGATTTGATTCAGCCTTAGTTCGTGAAATGCAGCAATAACAAAATAAAAAGCATGAAATCTGGTAAACAGATGTTTTACCAGATAAAAACTGGTGAAACCTAACAGATGTACAATCTCAGCCCAAAATGATGAACTGCACTTTATGATCTACATTCAGTTGTTATCTCCAAAGAAAAGAAAAACACAAGCACCTTGAAAATACTTTTCAAGTTTCATTTTTGGAAAACTTTTTGTTAAAAAATGACATAATCTCTATATAGAGCACTATATAAGAGTTAGTGTATAGGTTCGGGACTGTCATAGCCATCCTGATTCATGAATTCTTAAGTTCATCAGTCTCATGTTCTTTTCCCCTCTTTGCCTGGGAAATTAACTTCCTGTACAATTTGTATGCACTACCCCCTACTGGTGACCATGTGAAACTAGTTTAATCAGCGATGATCTATCTTTGCATTTGAGTATCAAAATGTGGTATAAGAGTCTCAAAGTATCCTCACTCCTTGGGTGCACACATGCAGAATTCAATTCTTGCATGCAAAATTAGTCATTTGCACAACACATATTATTTTTCTTTAAATAAAAAGAATACATTTGAACATTAGCATTTGTGTGCAAAAATTGTTCCATGAGAATCTAAGAAAATTATTTGATTTTCTTTTTTGCATCCATATATCACAATGAAACATTTCATGAAATTTAGATGTGGTGAATTGGAAGAGTTTTTTGAATAAGTCTTTATTTCTACATTTTTTTTATTTATTTTAAACTAATTTCACCCCATAGATTGTTTGCATTCATCATTTAAAATGTTCTTACCAGCCATTATGCCATCCCCTCTTTGCAAATACCCACTGTCTATAAACATTTCTAACAGTGTGAGGATCCTGTGAAAAGGGTAGATGGAAAAATGACAGCGCCACACGGTTCACAGTCAACTATGACTGTAGGATTTTAGTGATTTTGTCATTTGAAAAACACTAGCTTTGTAACACCAGTGACATTGGATTTTCTATTTTCGGCTCTGTGCTATCTAAAATCATGAATGTGGAGGAGTAGTCTGCTTTGTTGCTTCCTTGCATGTTTCGCATAATGATATCTCTTTGAGGCCAGATTGGTACTTTACCCAAAACATCAAACATATAAGGAATCTAGGAATTTATCATATTCCTTGCTGCTCGCATGTGTACATTAAATCTAAACGCAAGGCTTTTTAGGTCTCTGTGGCAGGTGTCAGACACTGTGGTGACGCCCTACTGTATAATGCCAGTCTTTCTCTTCACCAGCTGGTAAGGAAGACTGATGAGAGAGACTGCACTGACAGCGATGCCCTGTATGACATCTGCTTCCTTACCAAGACATTTACCACACCCACATTTTGGGATCCGAATCACCTGGTCTCAGCCACCATGAGCAGCATAGCAATCTGACTGGCTAGCCCAATGCCAAACTGATTAAACTTTTTGTCAACATGGTGCCGTTCTCGAGATTGCACTGCTTCATGTCAGGCTTTGCACACCTGCAGAATCGAGAAAGCCACCATTACAGGTGAGGAGACTGCCGCCATATCCACCATATTTTAGCCTACCCCAATTTAAAATAGGTATTTGTAG